TGACAGATGAGGTGAATGCACGAATCTGCAAGGCTCGGGCCACGTTTGCTAACTTGAGACACCTATGGCGTCAGAATGGTTTATCCTTGAATCTGAAGGGACGTGTGTATCAAGCTACAGTACGGGCTGTCTTGTTGTATGACTGTGAGACTTGGCTTATTCGAGCAGCGGAACTGAGACGCCTCCAGGTGTTCGACAATCGTTGTCTCAGAACCATAGCTCGTGTGGTTTGGTGTCGGCGAATCCGTAACGAGGCAGTTAGAGAGCGTGTTTTCGGTTGTGTAACGGGTACTTCCATTGAAGAATGTGTTCAACACCAGAAGCTGCGTTGGTTGGGACATGTGTTACGTAGCCCGAAGAGAGTGCTGTTTTGCATGCCCAATTCTGAGTGACGTAAACAGAGAGGTGGCCAACCCTTGGCTTGGCAGAAGAGATGAAGGAGAATCACGAAACGCTTGGGTGCCGTCGGTGCTACTCGCCTTCGAGGGTGGGGACTGCGTGATCCTCGCTCTACCCGGTTGGAGACACTACAAGATATGGCTGCCGACCGATGTCAATGGCGTTGTTGTTGGCAGTTCTGTCCAGATTTGCCTGGGTGAATGTTTGGAGGTGTAGGCACCTCGGAATGATTGTGTTAAGCTAGCACTAAGTCCCTCCGCCATCCACCTTTATTCTTTTCTTTACAATAAGGTTTTCATATAAGTCATGGTTGTCCGGCAGTGAAGCATCGGTGTTGAACACTGATGTCATGCTGTCGATTATGATGGTGATGATGGTGATCGGATCGGATCCTCCGACTGAGTGGTGTAGATATAGGCGCCCCGGATGTTCGTCGAGGGCTAGTCCCAGTTTTTTCTACCTGTTATAGAGCTTTATCCAGATATTTTGACATGGTATTGAAGGATCGGTTTTCTCGTCCATTGTTGCTGCTAGTAACGGTGATGATGTAGATGATTCTCCAAAATGGAACAAAGGGCGTACACTATATATTCATGCCTTTTAGTTAACGGATAAGTTCCAAGTTACGCGATTTTCTCCAGCATCCAAACCTCTGGAGCGGTTCCGTTGTTTGTTTGTTTGTTTCAAAGGTGTTTTACCGTAAATGCAAGCAGCAGTTTATGAAATGGATATCTCTGGTTCCGCACCACAGCAGTTGATCAACACAGCATTCTCTTGATACCATTGCTACACTGGTTACTGAACCGTTTGACTACATTTGACCCGGCTATTTACAGCGACTAAATTCATCCGTGGTGTACGATATTTTCCATATACCTCATGAAAAGGAATATCCAGTGATGATAAGCTCTAATGAGAATGGAACTCGGGCCCATAATAATAACAGTAACACTGGTGCATAACTTCCATGCCACCCGAAGGAATCACCGGGGTAGATGTACCGCCATGTCGTCCAAGCCTAGGCAGTCGAAATGGATTCGAACCAAGGAACTTTCGGCCACTGAGTTCTCACCCTAACCACTGAGCTATCTAGAGATGCACTCATCTGAGTTATTGTGTCGGGACAGGAATAGGACTGTTCAAACCAGAATAATGCGAATGTGCATTCTACAAATTTCTGAACCGCCTACGACTTATGAGGAATCAGTTACCTGACAAGACTGCTTCATCCATAGGTACCAACCGGAAGGGGTTTTCGTGAGAAGTCGGGTAGTAGCATGCGGATCACATATAAATACCTAACTTTTGTTCCGTGAGATACGCTTTTCGTGAACTGTTCGGAAAGTTTCAATCTGCTGCGTAAACTACGAAAGTGATGTCACCATGTTGTGAACTGAAACGCCCGATAAAATTGTGGATTATCCACCGAGCTGTTAGGTCGCAGACCAGTCTCGGGGAACTCGGTTCCCATGATGTCACTTAGATTTCTATCCATAAGGCGAGTTTCCCTATTCCCCTCTCGTTATTCCCATCCAGCAACGTTTGTTCCTAAACAAAGAAAAGGTAATTGCCGCCGATTCGGCTGGACCTAGAACATGCTAAACTTCCCCATCTAAATTGCCACCTGCACGCGAGGTTTATATCACGGTGAGTGGTATAGCAAACAATAGATTTTAGCACCAAAAACCCGACAATTCACTGTAAGTGATCATACTGAAAAGTCGTGATTATGGACAATTGCAAGCAGCCATGGAATATGACCTGTAAAACGGACATCATGTTCAACGCAGTATCACGGGCGGGATCTTTATCCAACCAGAGGTTTTTCAGCTGTTCATCTTTTTTCAAGAGCGACATTTAATGGTTCAAAGCTATGTGGAGTGACCGCACCTGGAAAGTGACGCGTCGCACCAAGCGCAGGGACCTATGAATACTAGTCAGTCGAATGTTCAACGACTGGACAACACACACCGTCGGGTTGGTTAATCGATCATTGTCCATACTTTTTGGCGAGTGTTTCAAAGAAGACAAAATTCCTGATTCGTTTGGTTCCTGGGCATCATCATAAATGTTACCAGACGAAACAGCAGTGACTGCATTACACGGCCGCCATCGACTAATTGCACTACCTATAAGGTAATCACGCACGCACGGACTTATGGGCAGGCTTAACCAGAACTCAGTGAAGCTCAGTCGCTTCGTCTCATGATGAATCGTCCACAATAGACTTATCTCGTCATATGGTGACTCACGGTACCCTGATCTAGCGACAAATCGGCCTGCGACAATTGACCTGCATGCAGTGGCTACGATGATGGGCTGGCCACCAACCAGCTTTCCTCGTTGACCTCTTTAGCATGAATAGGCCCGTAGCCCTCAAAATTTACTTCTAATCTGGCAACTTCTCCTCCCACTGATAGACCTACTCGAAGTTGGTGTGTTTATCAGTAATTACCTACAAACGATCGCCTTTAATTACGTGTGTTTACTCGTTTTTATTTGCTAATTAATCGTTTATCTGTCTGTTATTTGGCAAACATGGTTTATCAAGAGATTTTAGCTCCCCCCCGCCGATGCTAACTAACTGGTTTGTTATCGAGGACAAGGAGGGGGATGTTAATCGGCAGCTGATTACATCGTCGGCAATTCTTGTCATGCATGTCTAGCATTTGTTGCGTCACTTTTCCAGATAACTGATAAGATGTTGATTGTGCATCCGATAAGTGGAGGGTTAGCAAACTGGTGGTTCTCGGGTCGCGTCTCTAAGGTTTGACCAAGGTACAGCCCAAACTTTGAAACGTCGGACTCACCATTTCCAGACCTGAGTTCCGACTGATCCAATGCTTCCAAAGCACAAGTTTTGAAATTCGTCTGATCATGCCCCGTATACACTTCCCTAAAGTGTCTATTTCACTCTAGTTTGTCCGGTATTCAAGGTTTTGTAGGCATGTGTTCAGTGCTCTAGAGTCAAAACCTCAAAGTCTGTCAATGTCAACCTTAGACGATAGAATTGAAACAGCCCTTGTTCGTGAAGTACACTCATTTGCAAACTAATTTGGTCTGGCGAGAGACTCACCTGGGACCCAGCTTAATCTTCCGTTTGTGATGTGTCCAGGCAACTGAATGTGCTGGATCAGGCCGCCTCATGTTTCAGTCTCTACGATAGTGGAGATATCGCGATACATGTATATTCGTAATGCATTACTAATAAGGTTGCTCACGACGAATTTTCAGCCCTTGGTCGTCTTCGTCATCCCCAAAAAAACTATGGATAAACACCATGATTGCTTGTGCGGTTCAAATTAGGCGCCGTAACTGTCTATCACGTAGCATCGAGTCAATGGGAGTGAAACCAAGCCCACCCGTCATAATCTTAGGGTCAACATGTTTGATTTGAATTCTGATATGGCAACTTCCAAGGTATTGTCTTAGGGTTTTCACCTGTACTAAAGTGNCCCACTCTTTCCCATTATAATCTCACGTAGCCCCGATGTTCTCCCATGTGGCGCTTTTGGCAGGGTACCCGAAAACGGCGGATTCCAAATCGCCTGCAGTTTATAACAGGCTCAGGGATCTGCCACTGGTCACAGTCGATTTACTGCTCTCAAATATACTATTATACATTCTAAGGCGTTTACGATACAATGTCGCATAGGTCGTAGCCGAGTGACTCAGGGTAAGCTATCTCTGGTCCACCCATATCTGCCACTCCTATTATAATGACGGTGTTTTCTCAGCTCAGTTCTCGGTCTGAACCTTCCAAGTTAACGTTTCCCTCAAAACAGCCACCAAAGGTGCGCAGCATGTACTAACGCCCCAAATCAGGTTCAAAAATACAGGTATGCGACGACAACATTCTGGAAATTCTGATGCCTTCTAGATACGGCATTAGCAACCAGCATTCGGTGAATACCGGATCATGACTGGCTGTTGGGTCCAGACTTCCGACGAATCAAGGGTCGCCTTGATGCTGGACTGACAAGCGGCCTATCGCCGGTGGCTGTAGCAGCGCCTAACTGCAAACGGTAAAACAGTATCGGTGCTGAATTCCACTCAACTTTCATACAGTTCGTGCATCTTGCGATGACAGCCACTAACGTCACTGCTCACACATGAACCACCTGCACACATTCCGTGCATATGTTTCGTAGGAACTGAACTGCTGAAGGGATGGGTTTTTCATGATTTCGTTGTTTAGATGAATTTGACGCTTTTCAAAGATGGCGCTCTTTTAGTCATCGCACTGTTTGCCGCGCGATTCAATCAGTACATAGTGAATAAGTCATTTTTCACGCACCAAGTCAGTAAGTGTTTTATCAAATGTTTCATTTCGAACATTGCCGAAGGTAACAACAAAATGACCGTAAGGACAGTGGTGGTAACAGTTACCTGAGTGATGTCAGAGAGACGTGATCTTTTCTCATGTTCTTCTAGTGCTTTGTTTAGGGGTGCCTCTGACATGGAACAGGAAATCTTACTGCTATGTGCCCGCTGTTGGACTATATATTTGTTTGTGAACTTGAAAGGAAGAAGGCCTTCGCTGCGGAGTTATTTATTAGGAAATGCCAACTGACCGGCTACAGACCACTGACTAGGAAAGCAAAACTCTAATTTGCATCTTATTTACAAAAACTGGACGCGTCTTCTTGAACTTTCCTGGAGATTCATTGACTCCAATCATTCCTCGCTCAAATCCAAGCAAATGTTACAAAGCGACTCCACGAATTCCGCAACAGATCTCCCCTTTTCAAAAGACGCGAAGCGAAATTCCACGAACAACACATACTACTCGCGTGCCTCCCCATCAGTAGTATCACCGTGACACTGGTAGGCTCCAAAAGTTGGAAGCTAGTCTGTCTCTTGGCCGCGCCTAGGTTTTCGCCTCCAATGCATTTGCTTCCCACCAGTTTAAGCCGTCCTCCCTTTACGTTAGTGCGAACTTGCCTAGTCCACAATAAATCTGGAAAGCACTGGGTTTTGTTTTCGTCCGTCTTGGGCGAATGCTGATGCGATCCAAGTCCTCCAGCTCTAAGGGACTTGAACTCCGATCTACCTTCATGCGAGTTGACCGAGGTGACCCAGCTGAACAACTGCGCGCTTCGTGTCTTTAAATTCCCACATCTGTGCCGATGAGTACATGTTGTCCCTCACTCCGGCTATGCTGATGAGCCCCAATATGGGGAACAGTCTTATCCACTGCCTCTGTCTGGATGCAGACGAGCCAGAATGATCGCGCCAGGTGGGTGGAGGATTGCTCAAACCAAAGTGATGTGTATGTAATTTTACGGAATCCTTTAACTACGAGTTAAAATTTGATGTATACGTTTGGTTCCGTAATTTATAGCGGAAAACGTTAGTGTGTTGTCTTGATTTCCAGTCAAGGGCAACTGTGCACTTTTGCTGTAAGCTGCGCGCCCAAATCCGGTCGATGACACCGGAACGTCTCATGTTTGGAGTGGTATACCTCTAGGTGTCGTTAAGCGTATCCCCTGGGTAGCAACGTGACTGTCATCAAAATGCTCGAAAAGCCTTCGAAAATGTCGTACACACGTACTTTCGTATGATCAGATTGCACCCGATCGGCTTGGTAACATAACCAATGGTAAGTCGTACTTCAAGGTAGTTAGGAACGGATTCAGAAGGTGTCACTATCACAGAAATGACTGCTAAGATAAAATGCCGAGAATGAGTCGAAGTTTTCAAAAAAGTTTGGTGACAATCGGTAGATTTATTGCTGGGCAACGTTTCGCCTTTGATACAAAAGCTTCGTCAGGCCAACTGACTAGGTTCCGAGGTTGGTTGAGATTTAAGGCGGAAGGAGAACCAGTCAGCTAAGTCAAGCTAAATCTCTGTTGGATGTCGGCCGAGGGATTTTAGTGTGTTAAAGTTGTTGAACAAGTGTTGGGTCGGTGGGGAAACCTACATGTGTTTGGGTCCAGCCTAGGGTCTAGTTCTTCTGGTTCGATTCATTTGATGGTTCCTCTTGAACATCGTTTGAACCTTCTGTCAGTCTGTGTGGGTGAGCTAGTGCTAAGCTAGTTATGTAAGAGGTATGTTGTGACCTTTGACCGGTTGGGGTTTCCACCCGCACCCCCCGGTTTTTTCTAATGATCCTAAGTGGATTGACAACCACACGGTCACGTGTCAACTCGGCTTGTCTAAGACCGCTTTCCATGCTCTCGCTCGAAGTTGTTATATGGTATATAAGCAATTCTCTTATTATGAGGTGTATTCTTCCCGTTTTATTAGCTGTTGGCTGCGAAAATAAACTGAAAAAATATTGAAAAAGAAACGAACCAAAAACGCACATTTTTCCAATCTTATCTCATTTTGGGTCCTAGTCTTCCCACGGACATCGTCATGAGCCTTGCATATCTTCAGGTGTGTCTGTCACCAGACTGACGTTTAATTCGGTCGCACGGGCAATTTAGGAATAGAAACAAGTTTTCATCTTCGGCTTTCCAGCGTCACACAGGTGTCCGTAGGTATTCTTGGCGAATCGCTGTTCGAGGTAGTGGACGTCTTATGCAGTATGCCCTTGTCGTTGATGCATTATTCCGTTACACCATTGAATTTCAAACTTGAAGTTCTACAGCTTACTCAGCATTCCTATCCGCCGATCGATATTACTAACTTTCGAATCAACCGTCCAGTATTACAACAGAGCACGGTGACGGAACCCGACCAGTCCTTCAAACTAACAAACACCATGTTACTATGTTTCCAGCGCTAAATCGCGTAAATCTCACATCCACGGTCAGTTCTTTTTATGATTTTTCTTCGCTTTCAGCCCTTTTCTCACTCAAGTGACGCACGTATTTCCCTTTTCCATCTAACATTTTCACAAAGGTTTTTGGCTGCGGTGGTAGTTCAACTTGTCCTGCCCCTGTTTGTATTGCCCAATCTACCCCGCGTAGATTTTTCCGCCAGTTAAGTTTATTGCCTGATTTTAAGTTCAAACACCTTTTCACTTCCCGGTTCTTGTATGCTTAGTCCACTGACGTCACGCCGTTGCCTAAATGGGGGACTGTGCCCCTCATTGGCCTTTCTCATATGTGTGTTATCGTCTGCTATCCCCCTACCCTATTGAACCCCAGTTTCTCCCTCTAGCGCGTGTAACCTATCCAATATATGTAATCCTCAGGGTTTCACCGAGTTAATGTAGTTTCTTGCCGTTTTCATATGTTACCTTTGCTAATCACCGCATTGTGTTGTCCCAGTGGGATCCACTTCAATCTGGCTTGGTAAATTGGTCGGTCATTTGGTCAGTTTATCGATTAAACAATGTCGCCAGACTTCAGCCGCATCTACACCTAGTCGTCGAAGATTGTGCATGGCACATCAACGGTACGCACGTAATGGTAACAATGGAAGGGTTGGTCGGTCAACTCCTCACTCGACGTCTTCTGAGTCGGTGAACGAGTCCCTGAGTTCTTCGGATGAACAGTGTGACGGTCG